ACTACCAGTGATCCACCAAACTCGGTTATAGCCCCGGATGTGGGCTTTTCGTCCTCTGACTTTGGTGGGAAAACACCTCTGCCAGGAGAAGGCAGTGAGTGGGGCTTCCTCAGCAGAGGCTATTTGCGACGTTTGGTCCATATAGGAGCATTTTGTGAGGTGTAAGGAAATGGTGACCAATCAGAAACCCGAACACCCAGCTTGACCGTACTGATTCTTTGAAAGGCTTACTCAATAGTGGATCAGAGTGAAATCGATTTAAATGAAATTGTTTACGTAATGGTTTTTGTGCACTAAAGTTCTGAGAGTTTGGGGTACCATTTACAGTCTACCAAACTAACTGGTTTACTTTGAATAAATTAAAGTCTCTTTAGCCCGACCAATGTCACAAAAAGAACGATTTCGGTTGCTTTAGATTGTTGCTCGTCTCCAGTTTTCGCATTATTTTTATTGAACCGCCTCTCAACACCATAAGTGATGTAGGCTGTTTCATTTTCTTCAACTGTGTGTCAAAATACTCCACGCTGGATGCTCTCTAGAATTCGCACTTTTCAACAATTAAAAGAATACATCTCATTTCACATTTCTTGCCATTGGTTCTTTTAGTGTTTCAGCTGACCGTTCGCTGCTGCCACACTTTCTTCATTTCCACGCTCTTTTGTTCCCATGTCTATTATTCTATTTCCGCAAAAGTCGTTTATCGACTGTTTGCATTCTACTTTTCCACTTTTTTCATTCTTTCAGAAACCATGGTTCGTCTAGGTTTCCAACGACACGAAATCCAAGAAGCTTTAACTCAACAACGATTCAACAATATTACAGCTACCTATATCCTTCTCTCGCGCTATGATCCGCAAGTGCACGGTCGTCTTCCTGGTCTGTCCAATGGAGGCAGTCGATCGAACAAATCGGAAAGTCATTCTCGGTCTCGTCAATCCGAACTGTCCCCGGCGAGCGCGAACAATGGTCCTCTGACTAGTGGCACACATGGTACTCGTCCGTCCAGTGCATTACCTGCCACAGCGCATTCAGTTCCCCCGGTTGGCAGTCATACGCGGAGAACATCTTTCGCATCTTCCAGGCCCACAGTCGATACGGCCGGTAAAGATCAATCGATTTCCGGAATGCCATCAGCCTCGTCGATTGCTACCTCAACGACCACGGGTAATGTCGCAGTCACCACGACTGTGACTACAACTGCTCCACTCTCCATGACCCCGGTGACAGCTTCCGGCCCGATCGCTGCATGCGTGTCCACGGTGTCTAGTGCACATCCAGCTCCATCTGTACGACGATCAGCAACCATGGCCGAATACGCGGATCGCAAATCCAACAGTCCATCACAAAGTACGTCCATGCTGCTAAATTATGTTTGCATTTTCTCTCGGAAATATATTTGCAGTCTGTAGTGGACGGATAAGTTTCTCTCTCATCTTTCGATCTGATTCGTTGCTAAGGCTATACTCGATTTCAGTCTATACGGTGCGCAGCTTGGTACTATTAGAAAATAGAATACTGGGAAATAATGCTATGAGAAGCACAAGCACCATAACAGTCATTGTCCGTTTTGTTCCTGCAGATTCACTAATTCTGCGTTTTTTATCGGTCCCAATATTGCGGTTTTATGTGTCCCGTACAGTTGTTGTGTTTATCACGATTTCTTAACTTTGCTGATTTGTTTGTGTTCAATACTAACCAGTGCTAAAGTGTGCGCTTCGGGAATTATGAAAGTTCGTCCGTCATGAATCCCATCATGCAATAACAAGAATCAATGATCGAATGTCAGACACTTGCTGCAGTAAACCAACCTGTCTAACTCGGGAAGTAGTAGAGAAGGTAGATAAATTTGGCTGTTTCAGCAGCTATATCTCACCTGGCGGACGCGTCACAGATGAAGTGCGCATGTCACCAAGTAGGTTGTCACGGCGCGCGATGTTTTCCGAGGCAGGAGACCGTTCGTAAAAGTCAGGGGAGGTCAAATTAAGGCCCAGCTTGAGTGTATGGAAACCCTAACCAGGACACTGGTTATTATGGGTCCCGTTAGGCTCCCTGAATGGGGACCTCGAGATCATGTTAACCGATGGTTAGAGATACTGTGTGATATGGCTTGGTGTAGTTCATGCATATACTCAATATTTTTCAATCCTATTCGGTACGAATTCTCTATCTTAATGACTTATTTCTGGACATTCCAATCTTCATTCTACTCTTTTATCCAAATGGGCGGTCAAATACATCAACCAAAACCGGCGCATGAAAATGCATGTTTAATGGTTGTGAAAACTGAAATTGGCCCCCATTATCATCCATCAGCGTCTGTTCGGTATGGCCACCCTATAACAGACTGCTCAGAGGCATATCCAAGAGAGCGAGGGAGGGTTAGAGCCAATGATGCGTCTGTGTCGTTAAAAATAGCGCTCCTGCATCTACTCTACGTCCTTGCAACCGCAGCGTTCACAAATTCTCTTATTTTACTTTAATAATAATTTTAACGTTCCAAACTTTCCTTTACTCCTCATCCAAATGACCAGTCATTCGGTAGCAATCAAAATCGCCGCACGTTAGTGCATGGCTCTTATCTGCCAGTTCGTACATTTTTCGTGTGTAATTCACGCATCCCGAATGCCCAATGCGTTCCATCGCCCGATCGAACTGAATGATTCAGACTCACGCTTGCAATACTTCAGGAGATGCACTGCACGGTACCGTTTGTTTGGTTAAGTGCAGAGCCTTGTCCATCTTTGGAGAGACTGGGACTTTTTAGGCATGGAAACCCTGTGCCACAGCGTACTAGTTATTATTCCAGTAAGTGATAAAAGTCATAAGTCTTTTGAAATCTGAGCACATCTAAGAAGTCCCTATAAATATGACCTAATGGGTTTGCAAGTGTGCTTATCATAGCATGCACATGCAAGCGCCGTAATAACCCAAACGGATCTTCAACGCAGTAATCGGTAATCGCTGCTTGACACTGAATAAAGGATTCTCATCCACAATTTTTCGACCTGTCGAATTTCCTGGTGGTTTTCACAGATAGACATATAAACAATTGTGAATTCCGAAATGAAGCTTATTCCCAATCAATTCAATTTCTGATTTCTGGATGGGAATGTTCTGCAGGTTACCAGTCATTCATGGATCATATCTCCTATCATATCACTTTGGACTTCGTTACGCCCCCTTTTCTCGATCCTATTCTACAATTTTGCCATATGTGTCAATGACTATCTCCAACTGTCTAGACATTGCTTTCGAATCTTCATTGTTGTCGATAGGATTCCACTGCACTCTTCATCTTTAGTGCATGATTCTTTCGTGCTCGGGGGTTGCTTCCATGATTTTCGTCTCTTCTGGGTCACATAGGTCCCGTTAGGCTCCCTGGATGGGGACCTCGGGATGGTCGTACCGGATGGTTAGAGACACTGAGTGATATGGCTGGGTGTCGTAAACAGTGACGTTCGTGCATCTTCTCCATTTCTCTGTATCATTAGTCAACTGAACTTTTAAATTTTCTCTTCGGTCCTACTTTCAACCTTTCCTGTCTTCTTCCTAATGTTCATTCAAATGGGCAGCCGAAAGCTAGCAACCAAAACCGGCGCACGACAGTGCATGGTTAATGGTTGTACAAACTGAAACGGGAAACTGTCTGAGCCCAGACTGTGTCACAGATCACAGTACAATAATCTTTATTAAAAGAAAAAAGGCCATGATTTGCTCGTGGGCACGCTACTGCCAGGTTGCCAAGGCCAATGTAGGGGAATTCTCTTGGAGACTGACCAAAATCAAGGGAAGGAAACAGTATGTGAGAACCGCATTCCGTTGAATACCGGTATCCAGTTCATCGGATGATGTGCTCTTTGCACGGGGTCAAACGTCCAAGGTGTCCAATCAAGCCGGTGTTCACTGTCCCAACCAGGAACGTGAAAATGTGATACATTCAACTCTTTTTTGGTTGTTTTTAGTCAGGCTTTTGTAGCTAATTATCGGTGGTTCACCGACGCAAATGTTGGTTTTCCACCCTCTCACTTTGGTGGAAAAACAGGGCCACATAAAGGTAGTGAGCACCGGTTCCTTAACAGAGACTATTTAAGACTTTTAGTTGTACAGGAGCGTTTCTTGAGGCCTAAGGGAAGTGCGACCCCCTATTCCGAGATACCCACCGTGGATAATCATGAGGTCTTTGGAGGCCATTTTTATCATTGATTTGTTTACACTTGGCCCTTTCTATTCCTTCTTTAAACCCTATCCTTTCATTCCTCTATCAGATTTTGGTGGAAACTCGGGTGGTTTATCGTTTGTCGCTCGATCTCCACCACCCTCGATGACCAATCCTGCTTCCTATTCCCCGCCACCTTCACAAGCTCCTCCTCAAGAGTTCCCGCCTCCCTCACACGCACCACCTGCGCAAGCCTCGGTGATCATTCATCCAACTTCCGTCACTGCTCATCTTACACTTATCAATCCTACGAACGGTCCCTCTTGTGTTGCACCTCCATTGTCCAGTCATTCACCGGCTGGTTCACCGGCTCCAAATTCTGTTCAGCCGCAATCTGTTCTGTCTCGAGTTCGTCCCTTACCTCGGAAACTGAGTTCACAAAGCCCGAGCTCAGTTGGACCAACCGCTCCACTGGCTCAGAGTGAAGATGATCCCACTTCTGGTGGAACACTTCGTTCCCCTGGTTGGTTAACCGCAAACACGAACAACAAATCTTCGATTGGAAAGTGCAATGGTTCGGCCAACGGTCGTCGACACGACCCTGCGCGGACGGCGGTAATGCAGAGCAGTTCAGATGATTCGCAGTCAGATAGTGATGTGTATGATCGAGAGTGGGGTTCTAGTGCATCCAGCGATTCTGAACACTCGGCAGCGGTGAGCAGTCGTCCCCGGGCGAATCATCATTCGCACCACCGTCGTCATCCTCGACCACGTCGAAGCATACGACGTCGTACACCTACCGCGGATTCACAACCGGGAGAACAACCGCCCGGTCCCTCGGTTGTGCTCGCAGCTGCACCTCACCCGGCCGGGACTTCACGGTCAAATAGTAAACCTGGATCCACTGGACCGGGTAAGCAAGCGTACCACACCCGTTTCCCCCTTTTTATTAGTTGGTTACGGCTAACTGTTGTCATGGAAGATGTGCCGGAAATCAGGTAGCGGTTTTGCTTTCAATGATAACAGGTTATAAACCATTAAACAGGACCACTTTTCCTAGCTTCTATTCTTGTATGGCTGATTGACCCTGATATTGTCCATAAGGGTGCATATGAAGTTGGCTGTTCCTGGAATTAGTGCCACCTATAACTATCCTGCCAATTGATGTGTATTTGTGTATCCAACGATCATGTCTTAACTGTATGTCTATCAGTGAAAACTTTCCCTCACCCGGGGTTGTGTTTTCGGCCGCGATCATTCTTCTACTCCGGTCCTAAATTTGTGGCTATTGCTTTCTTTTATTTGCATTTGGATGCGTATACGTTCTGGTGAATTATCAAATAATATTAAACAAACCAAGCGGTATTCCGCTCTTTCCGTGAATTTTAGTTGTTCCGTTTCAGGACCATCCTGTCTTTTCCAACTGTATTTATATATATGCTGCTACACTGCATCAAACGAGCTTTCAGGCGGAACCCTGATGGTAGTTGTGTGTACCATTGGTGTTTTAGCACCAGTGATGCAGTGTGGAATATGTTGCTGGACAGCCGGTTATCACTTACCGGTTCGCGGGCTAATAGGCTGATGTTTGTTTGTATTTTCCACTTAACCGCGCAGAATGCTAGCATATGATAAGGTGTGTAGCTCGAGCCTCTCCGTCATGGCGTCTGTACAACCTCACAACTATGAGTTTATATTCAGTGACTTTTTATACTCACCCAGTAGTCTCTCGTGAATTTCAGGTATTTATCCGATCAAATATCGTTATACAGCACTGTTGGTTCCTAGTAAGAAAAGTATACGAGAATTCGGATATCTGCAAGCTTGTTCTTTTGCCTCATCAAAGGACCTCGGTCCTGGACTACGTATTAAAACAAAGATAACCATCTTTCCTCTAGTATGCAAACGTGCTCCTTAATTGAACGGAAGAGGTTTAAAACGATTGAAGGCTGCCAGTAAAGCGAAAGCGTTCGTGACACAATTGTGTAGTGGAGAAAAGACCTTGGTGTTAGATACTGGATGACATAAACCTCACTTCATAGTTCTTATCTTTTAGGGAGTGTTTTATGTATTTTGACCTCGTTGTACC